GGGTGCAAGGGTGAATGCTAGATGGGTCGTTCTCTAAATTAAGGCCCCTCTTTAGGTCCCCACAATAGTATGGCACCCTTGTAAAAAGTACCATAAAAGGGACCCGTCATTTAGACAAATACGCGGGTAGTGTTATGGAGCATGGCGTTCAAAGAGGGCTACGGCTCAAAGCAGGGAGACTCTGAGAAGCGCATCCTGGAACGGCTTAGGGCTTGGGGCTTTAGGGTTTAGGAGTTTGGGGTTTAGGGTTTAGAGTTTAGGGTTTGGGGTTTGGGGTTTAGGGAAGGGATGTTCGGAGCTCACACTCGGATTCTCGGCAAGGCCAGCTTCCAGATGTCTGCTTGGAGGTTCATGGGTAGTTATAAGTAGGGTTATAAGTCCCCTAATATGGGTTATAGTTATAGTTAGCTTACTTATAACTCCACTTATAACTACCCATGAACCTCCAAGTGGGGGAGTCAGGGCAGATAGAACCCACACTGATTAACGGCAGGCAGTGGCTATAGGGCTTCGGGCTGCATCCAAGTTTCCCAAACCGGTGCATTACAAAACGTCGGACCAGCAAGTAAATGGCTCAATGTTGGGCAGGCACGGGATCTATGTTCAACCATGACAAATCTGAATGGATGGAACAAGCGCTTTGAGACATTGTCCCAAAGTATACGGGCGAGGGGACGAAGCACGTAGCTTCCTCTGCGGCTCTGGGGTTTGCACTTTCCAGAATTGGGGTTACTGTCTTATCAGACCTCATGCAACCTACTTGCTAAATCCCCTGGTCTTCTCTCCCTAAGCCAGCTGAGTTGTTTGCATTTGTCTAGGTGCATTAATCCACAAATATGTATATATATATATATATATCCTTGTCGCAACATTACAGTTCAGATGCCTATCATGATTTTGAGGACCACCAGAACCAATTCAAGTTTATAATTGGCCAGGCAACAAAATCTACTGACAAGGTGCCCCAGACCTGAAACATTCAAACGCTGCTAACCTTGAAGATCCCGTATCTTTGCTGCCCAACAAACTTCATAAACCCATGGTCAAAGCTTCGAGACCAGAAACGCGATGATCGGACCTTGTCAAACTTGGCGCTGCCATTCGCCTCCTGCACCTCTGAAAGCCAAAGGACAGAACAACAAGCCCCTCAGTTGCCGGCTCCGTCGTTTAGAGTTCTTCTGTTTCGTTGGAGGGTGTCTACCCCTGCATTGCCGACGTGGACAGCAGCTTGGGGGCAATTCATGGGGTGTGGCCTTCGGGGCATCATGCGCTCTCCTCGCATCTCGGCATCCTTTTTGCCTTCTGCATTCCTGTGCTTAGTCTTTTTTTGGAGTGCTGCTCTGATTCTCTCAAGCGACTTGGTAGGTCATCCTGTGGGTTGATGTAGACACGTAACAATTACATGTAACAGTTAAATACCACAGCTCCTCGTGCCCAAAGCATGCAGAGATTGAATGTACCATGGTCATGCAAGCCACAAGCAACATGCCGGGCAAACATGTGCATTGTGCCCGGATTTGCCCGGCATAGGCACAAAGGCACTGGCACTAGGCACGCAACCCTGGCCCATTGTTAGAACTGGGAGGAGAACCTAAACCCTAAACCCTAAACCCTAAACTAACGGGAATCCGGGGGCCTCGTAGGGCAGCGGCATGTCCAAGTAGAACTTGCTCTCTACCTGTGCACTTCGATGCGGGCAGGCGTTTGAAGAAGCCGCGACTTGGACGAGATGCAGCCCAGCAGGCTGACAACACAGAGGGGGTTCCGAAAATAGGGGACCCTAATATAGTACCCTAACTAAAAAGATCCTTATTATAAGGACCCCAAAATAAGGTACCCCTAATTTTCGGAAACTCCCACAGAAGTCTCGCAAACACAACTGGATCGTCGGCAGCCTCCAGCACCACGTTGTTGCTAGTCACCTGGTGTTTTTGTGTCTGGCATGTCCGTCTCTCTAGCACTAGAGCCGCCCAAGGTCATGAAAGACAGCCGATAGACGTTGAGAGCTGCTGCGATTGTCACAATGAGTTTCTTGGGAGGCCGTGGAGGAGTCAGGCTTCGATTGGCCGATGCAACCTCTCCTCCACCTGCTCCTACTCCTGCCCGATACCCCTGGTAATGGCACATGTGTAGCAGCTGCAGCTAAATCAACGTTGCAACATTGAACCACAGCTTAGAAAGTTGCTGTGGAGCCCGAATCCCGGAAGCCAGACCCTGCCCTCTCTGAGCGCCCGGGCTTCCATCTTGATTTCGCTACTCTTCTTGACAGTCGGCAGCTCCACGACGAGCCGCAGATGCCTCAACTTTTACTTGGGTATACTTGAGCCGCATCCAGCTAATCCAGGGACGGACTCATCCCAGAGACTCCAATATCCCT